TATTATATAAATTTAAAAAAAGATATAAAAATATATCATTATACTGTGTGTGTGTGTGTGTGTGTATATATATATATATATATATATATATATATATATATACACACACACACACACACACAGTATAATGATATAATTTTATATCTTTTTTTAAATTTATATAATAAAATTATTATTATTATTATTTATAGTACTGTTCAAAAGTTTGGGTCTGTAACAGTTTTTAAATCTTTGCTCTTCAAGGTTGCATTTATTTAATAAAAAATACAGTAAAACATTATTGTGATTATTGTAAAATATTATTACAATTTAAAATAACTGTTCTACCTTTAAATACATTTTAAAATGTGATTTATTCCTGTGATGGCTAAGCTGAATTTTCAGCAGTAATTTCTGTAGTCTTCAGTCACATGATCATTCAGAAATCATTCTAATATGTTGATTAAGTGCTCAAGAAACATTTCTTATTATTATTAACGTTGAAAAGAGTTGTGCTGCTTAATATTTTTGAAGAAACCGGGATACCTTTTTTAAATTCTTTAAAATAGTACTCTTTATAGATGTGTTTACGGTCATTTTTTATGCATCTTTGCTGAATAAAAGTATGAATTAAAACAATTACTGACCCCAAACTTTTGGCAGGTAGTGAAATTGAAATTCACGGAGGAACGAAAGTCATACAGGTTTGGAAAAACACTTGGTGGGTAAATGATGACAATGTAATTTTGGATGAAATGTTCCTTTAATGTGAGCAAATTTTCCACATTTGTGTCGCCACGTACATTTGGTGCTTGCTGAACATTTAATTGTAACTATATAAAGATGCACTGAAAGCAAATCCATCAGTGTTGTATACTGTTGACATGGTGACAGCTTACACAAGCCCACCACTGTGTAGTGTAACGGCAGGCACTCAGGTTGTAAAAGTTTTTAAAAAGAGTCACGTCTGTTTTTGCCACATACCTGTTCCTGATAAGAATCCAGTAGTTGGGCCACATCACTGTTAGATGGAGTCTTCAGATCAGCAAGATCCTTCTCAAGAGACACGATCTGATGGGAGAAACAAATGGTAAAATTCTCAACATCACAGGTAGAAAAAAATCTAGTGGGTCTAGATCAGATACCGAAGAGCAGAGAAGGGAACGTGTTGTTTACAACAGGAATTTTTACAAGGCGTTTCCTGATGGGCAGGGGCACAGTGAAACACAACATAAAACTACAGCTTAGTGTCCAAAACTTAGTGCACAGGTAAATCTTAGTGTGCTCCCAACATTGCGTTTAAAGGAGCAGTCACATCAGCTAAAGTTTGCATGCAAAAATAGGTCCACTGTCAACAGTGAGGAGATATATGAAACACTCCTCACATGGAAGTTACTTTAAAAACCAAGCGGCTTTTAGTGTCATCAGCACAGAAAATTTGGAAAATTTTCGCCCTTAATTGAAACTCCTAATTGCATGGATATTTTCTCACAGGGAATTGTAAGCCTTTATTCTTTCTAAAGCTGCTTTGGAACAATATGCATTGTGAAACACGCTATACTAACATATTGAATAGAATGCATTACACCAGGATATAAAAGGAAGAATGGCATTTAATTCTCCCATCAGGTTCCCACATGTTGGAAAAATGTATTTCTTCCACTTTTGATTACTGGATTAGGTTTTAAAGAGATTGGACATGGAAAGAACAATTTCTAATCAATTAAATATTTTATAGGATTAGAAAACGTATATTCATTATAGAAATCCCATGTTTTTTCTACATTTTATTTTAATCTTAAATTATACAGGTTTCCAGGCCTAAAAATCAAAAATTCCCTGAATCTTGTGGTCGACTGAATATATAGCCTAATTGTCAGGGTTGTTTTATATTGCTCATAAAACAAACTGAATCAGCTCACGACTAGTTCTGCTGTACAAACTAACGCCCTGTCCTCTGAGCCCTTTTGTGGTTATTTTTATCACAAGTCACTTCTGTGTGTAGTGTGTACGCCAGATCCTGCTGGTTATCTGTCCTTGGCCAGAGGATGTGTGTGTGTGGGTAGGCTTGTATGCCCCTCTCTCCAGCAGTGCCAAGCCCTGGTCCTCATTTTCACCTCTAGCACATTAACTGGGCGTAGTGTCAGGGCTCAGTCACCCCCTGCTGCCGAAAGCTCGCTGGCAAGCCTGAGACATGCTGACTAATGCCGCGTTCCAGGCAACCCGTAACCCGTGTTTTCCCAACCTTCTACCTGTGAAAGTGCACTGGAACGGCAGACAAACCCGTGACTTCCCACCCGTGAACTCGTACTAGATCGATGTACTCCCAGTTCCGTGTTCTGACATCACATAGCCCGCGAAACAACAATGGCAGCCCCTACGGATGTGGTGTTTATGCAAGTGGTACACGGTGAGAAATAGACTATAGGACAATATAACTTTGCAATCAAATTAATAATAATATAATAATAATAATAAATAATACACACGATTATGTATTACAATGTTATGTGTCTGAAACTATAAGTATGTCGTGAAAGTATATCGCCACATGGAAATGTTGGGCATAGCTAATGTTAAGGTAACGTTAGGTAAACCTGAACTTGACCATGCAAACGATCATGGTTATAAAAAAAAATAATGTAATGTACAATTTCTCAGCATAGCGAAATTAGCCATACAATGTTTAGCTAGCCAGCTCACAGTGAGCATAAGCCCCGTACGGTTCGCCATGCTGGTTTGTTTACATCTAGCTACCACAATTCCTTGCGCTTAGGCAGTTTGGCGTGACTTGCCTGGAACACTACAAAGTCGTGAGTCGTGGTTTGAAGTCGTGACTTACGGGCTCAAAAACCTGCCTGGAACGCAGCATAAGTCCTCTTCTTTCAGTAACTCGCTCATTTCAGCATCAAATGCAAGAACTGCAGCCCAAAAGCCCAGGAGGCCAGCACCAGCACAGCTCCCTTCCAGTCATCATTACCTTGAATTTGAGTTTCATCCTTTCGAAACGGTCTTAAAACTGTTCTACAATTGTAATATTAATTGCATATATAATAATATATAATTGTAATAGTGTCCTAACCAGGAGCTGCATGTGAAACCATTGTACAACGTGAAACAATCACAGCCAATATATCAGATATGGCTTTGTCTATGATGCAGATTAAAAATATATATTATAGACAAAGTTTGAAATTATACAATAATATAAAAATATATAATAAATTATAAACTATGTTAAATATCATATTCTTATATTTTATTGATAAAAATATAAAATAGTTTAGCTTAAAATGACAATAACACTGACATTTTCCAATATTTACTTAATTATTTACTCAATCTTTGACAAGAAAAAAATGTGCAATATCTATTCACAAGGCCATCAGTAGACTATGACAAACTGATGCAAGGGAAAGAGCCATTTATTTGGCCAATTGAATATCAATGTAACCAAATATTGGTCAATCTCTTGTCTATGTGCATTACCTTGTCAGACTGCACAAAGTGAGTAGCCACCCCGACCCTCTGAACATCTCTCCCTTTGAGGCGGAACCCAGTCAGGGCGAGAAAGAGCCCCAGTTTGCCTTGAAGTCTGGACAGGAAGTAGCCACCACCAACATCAGGAAACAGACCTATAGAAACAAAACACACAAAACAAAAGCCATTTAGAGCATGACATGAAGTACAAATCTGGACACACAAATCTCAATCATTGAAAAACAAACAAACACAGGATTTATATATGAAATAATTGATTGCACTGCTTCATGGGATGACTAGTTGATTTACTTGTTGATGTAAAGTCTGTAATTTCAGTCTGTATGTTTTTCATATTTTCAAACACTATTTTACACTGAATCAAATGTGCTGTAATTCAGAGCTGGGAGGTTGGGTTCAAGGCTTCTTTATTGAAGATTTTTTAATTTTTTTATTGAGAAAATGAATGCAGAAAAAAATACTTACGAACTCAAGGTCAGTAAACAAACGGTTCGGCTATGAATTTCAATCCATAACGACTGGTTCTTGCAGCACTTAATAAGATTTATTCACTGTTTAAGCCACATAGGGACACACTACATCTGCTGCGTGTTTATGCTATGCTGTCGTCCTTCAACTTAAGATTGTGCAGGACCAATGAGACATGACTTCTAATGCTCTTTACCCAAGAAATAAAAAGATTATTTTCTGGCCACAGGAGTAAAAATCTGTTATTTTTTAGGTAATTAATTATAATTGCTCAAGTGATTTCATAAGTAATATTAAAACTGAGGAAATATTTGAATAAACAAAAAGAGTTTGATTATATGAGCTATTTCACTGTCACATAAAGCAGGAGCATTACACATTTTTTTTGATGCCAATGACCCGACAAATATTATGATCTCAAGGGAACCCCTTCCTAAAGTATAATAGGAGCTGTATATTTCCATGTAAACAGACCAATTATGATATTTAGGAAAAATATTAAACATATGTTGTTTCCAAAATCAAGTAATTGGATGTTATATTGTCATTACACTAAAGCCAAAAGATGGGATTAAAAAATAATAAATATAAATAAAATGAAAAATAACATGAAAATATTTACGAATTAAGCTGAAGTAATATCCTTTTCTACCCACTATTGGAGTTATGTTAGAGGTATAAACCTGAGAAACAATCAAAAATAATAAAATAATCATGATAAACCTCTCATGTCTGAATGAAATAATTGAAATAAGTCAAATTATGAATTATGTCAAAAGTTAAATTCTTCAAATATTAACATTTTCTACAAATATTTATTTACACTATTTATTTCCAGGCACCTGCAAGGGGGTCCTTGGCCCCTACACTCTTAAAAATAAAGGTGCTTCACGATGCCATAGAATAACCTTTGTCTAAATGGTTCCATAAAGAACCTTTAACATCTGAAGAACCTTTCTGTTTCACAAAAGCTTCTTTGTGGCGAAAGAAGGTTTTTCAGATTATAAAAAAGGTAAGAAAGAGATGGTTCTTTAAAGAACCTTTGATTGAATAGTTCTTTGTGGAAGCAAAAATGGTTCTTCTATGGCATCACTTGAAGAACCTTTTGAAGCACCTTTATTTTTAAGAGTGTAGTTTGTAAAACCCTTGCATAAACCGTTATCAAATGCATTGTTCAGTCTGCAGGATGTGGTTATGAAATGGCATAGTGTGGTGCTACAATCGTATTAACCTGATGTGCTTTTTTTAGTTGCATGGACTGAGAAAAATAATTTCCCTCTCACACACACACACACACACACACACACACCGCATTGCTCTGCGCTGCGCAAAACTCCGCATTTGAACAGTCAATAGCAAATACTTAAACTAATAACAAAACATACTTACAGTCGCTGATTCAGAAGCGCCAGATTGTCATAGCAAAGTCGGAATTGACCCATTTTTTTATTTTTTAGAAATAGCCTTTGTGCACAGCCAGTCTTGTACTCTTCTAGGTTCAAAAAACTCTCACACGCACACACACACACACACACACACACACACACACACACACACACACACACACACACACACACACACACACACAGTATGAGGTACAATTTTGAATAAGGCGGGACAGGATTAGGTCTCCGACCTGATTCCAAGAGGCAAATGTAATATAATAAATGCAGATTAAGCTTGCCGTTCACCCAGTTGCTTTGTCTCGTGGCCGGCATAATTTTAAAACTCAAATAGCCCCATAATCCATCAGCAGAAGAGGGTGAAGGGGCGGAACCAGGTTGCAGATGGGGAGAGGGGGGCATTTTCGGCACACAGATGGCTGGCACATTGTCAGAGAAGGTGCCACCATGGGCGAATGCCACAGCTCAGCACAAATGGCTCAAGGCTACTGCTACCATGCAGTTCATGGTGCTTTCCTTCTGGACTCCCACTTAGCCTGGAGCATTTAAAGCATACAGGACAACAAAAAAATCAGTTCTTTAAACCACTTTAAAACTGCACAAGATTCCCAGCACCACTTCTTTCCCAGAAAAGCGTAAACACTATCAAAACATTGTTTGTTTGAGAGACCCAACATAGTAACAGCGGCTCAACCAATGGTGTAAGTTGGGGTGTGTTTTTTCAATCTATGGCAAATGGACAAACATTGTTTAAAACATTTGTTAATAAATCATTATTTATGCAAATTTTCATAGAAACTTTTATTATGCTGCCAAGTCCAGGGTTATTATTGTTAGCTAAAACCATAAAAAACTTTTTTCCGTACTTAACTAAAATAAGATTGATTATTAAAATTATTTATTTTATTTCAGTTATAGCTGCCGAGGCAACATTTCTAATTTTTGTTTAGTTTAAGTACTAAAATACTAAAACTAAATAAACTAAAACTAATAAAAACTACACATTTAAAAGCTAATTAACATAAAACTAATAAAAATGACAAAAACACAACAAAATTGCTAATATTAAAATGAAAACAAAACATAAAATTAAAATCTAATTCAATATATTTTCAAAAATAGTATATCAGTGATACTAAAATAACTGATAGAGTCTCATCTGAAAAATAAACGAATAAATAAATAAATGTTTTTCAAAATATATTTTTAAAATTATTTTTAATAGTACTAATTTATGTGTAAAAAAATAATAAATACAAATAATTAATGTGGAGATGTCTGGGATGTGTTTGTCCAACCTAAATTATTGTAATGCTTTATTGGGTGGTTGCTCTGCGAGCTTAATAAACAAACTCCAGCTGGTCCAAAATGCAGCAGCTAGAGTTCTTACTAGAACCAGGAAGTATGACCATAATATTAGCCCGGTTCCGTCAACTCTACACGGGCTCCCTATTGAACATTGAATACAATTTTCCTCAATACTTGAGCGAGCTCTTATCGCATTATAGTCCTTCACGTCCCCTGCGATCTCAAAACTCTGGCCATTTGATAATACCTAGAATATCAAAATCAACTGCAGGCGGCAGATCCTTTTCCTATTTAGTGCCCAAACTCTGGAACAATCTACCTAATGCTGTTAGAGAGGCAGACACACACTGTCAGTTTAAATCTAGATGAAAGACCCATCTCTTTAACCTGGCATACATATAACACATTTCTATACACATCACATTTCTATAATTCAAATCCATTAAAGGATTGTTAGGCTGCATTAATTAGGTCAACCGGAACCGAGAACACTTCCCATAACACCCGATGTACTCGCTTATAAGAAGAATGGCATCTACGCTCATATTAGTCTAATTCATTCTTATTCCGAGGTCACCATTGTCACCCAGATCCAGATCGTATCCAGATCAGATGTTCACTGCAGTCACACGGATCCAGTCCAGATGGTGGACCAGCACCTAGAAACGACCTCTACAGCCCTGAATATCAGCGGAGACCATGTCAACTAGATGAGCCCCAGAGACAGATCCCCTGCGAAGACCTCGTCACCTCGACGGCCATCGGCACAAGACCACGAGAACCAGACAAGTCCTCTGCACAATCTGACCTTCGTTGCAGCCTGGAATTAAACCACACCATGCTGGTTTCGTCTGGCCAGAGGAGAACTGGCCCCCCAACTGAGCCTGGTTCATCCCAGGGTTTTTCCTCCATTTCCATCACCAATGGAGTTTTGGTTCCTTGCCACTGTCGCCTTTGGTTTGCTTAGTTGGGGACGGTTGACCGATTTCACAGACACTATTGAAGACAGCTGAACTGGACGATGACATCACTGAAAATGACTCTTTGTTATTGTCCTCTTGCATTATTGACAAACTATTTTCTAGTTTGACACTGTAAAGCTGCTTTGACAATCAGTTTTGTATAAAGCGCTATACAATTAAGTTGTATAGCAAGGTGACTTGACTTACAAACATACAGCACTGACTGGAGTCTCATCTGAAATAAATAATACGATAAAAAAAATGTAATAGCCAATTTTTTTTTATCAATAGCTGAATTGAAGATCCACACAAATGATGTGCACATGATGATGTAGTACTTGTTTAACCACCTCATGTCAAGGAAGAAGGACTATAAGGAAGTACCCGGCTACAAGACAAATTAATCTGGCCACTTTACTGCAGAATAAACCATTAAGACAATTGCAAACCAAAAGAGGATTATTCATTCATCTGGGGTTGAGAGACACAGGCTCTTAATGGGATTAGTGGGTGATGGCACACAGACACTGTGCATTCACTCTATCAAATGCACACACACACACACACGCACGTGCACAGACGCTCAACAGATGTGTCACAGACCGTGATTAGCACTACTTCCTGCCACTCTTTAACAGTTCCGCAGGGAGTCTTCTCCCAAGGCTTGCAAGAGTGAAGGACACTGTACAACTCAGGAGGAAATGCTGTAAAGCTCTCTCATTATGAGTCCAGAATGAATTACAATAGCCGAGGCAGACTTCTGCCTACATGTGTTGGAGCATGTGATAGGGACAAGGGCAAAGTATTCATCACAGACAATCTGATTTATACCGCATCAAGACTCCAGACATACCATTCACAGGGTGTGATTAGAACATGGAATGAAAAGAAGCACGAAAAATCTAAAGCATGTGCAATAAAAGCGAGATGCAGCACACGTGGATGTATTCTGAGAGGATGGTTATGAAAGATGGATGTGGAAACATTCACTTTGGACCCAAAAATTAAAATTTTTTCTTCATTTTCTTAACTTCATGTCTAACCACGTATTTTCTGGGTGAGTAAGTGATGACAGTATTTAAAATTTTAAAGTTTATGACAAGCTCAGTTTCTCTAAAAACATCAGCACTACAACAACATTATAGTTCCAAAGTTTGGAAACAGGAAGATTTTTTTTTATATTAATAATTGCTTTAATTGAGCAAATATGCATTAAATTGTTCAAAAGTGAATGTAAAAAAAAAAAAGTTACAAAAGATTTATATTTCAAATAAAAAGTGTTCTTTTGAACTTTCTATTCAAAAGATCATAGAGAAAATGTATCACTGTTTTCACAAAAATATTACACAGAGAATTTGTTTTTAACATTGACAATATTACTGTTTTTACTGTATTTGTGATCAAATAAATGCAGCCTTGGTGAGCATAAATGTTAAAAAACATTTCAAAATATTACGGATCCCAAATGTTCGGTAGTGTTAAAGGGTTAGTTCACCCCAAAATGAAAATTAGGCTGTGTTTTACTCACCCCCAATGCATCCTAGGTGTATATGACTTTCTTCTTTCAGACGAATCCAGTCGGAGTTATATTAAAAATGGTCTTTGATCTTTCAAGCTCTATCGTTGCACTCAGCGGGTGTTGCATTGCTTCTGTCCAAAAGACGTGAAATAAAAAGCACCTTTCCATTAAATAACGTGTCTCACACGGCTCCAGGGGGTGAACAAAGGCCTCCTGTAGTGAATCGATGTGTTTTTGTAAGAAAAATATCCATATTCAAAACGTAATAATCACTTTAATCTAGCTTGCGCCAGAAGTTGTACACAGAAACAGTTCCAGGAGCATGAGGTATGAGTTCAGCGTTGCGCATGCGCCGATGAGTCTCGTGAAAACCAATGTTTGTTAACAGGATCAAGGGACCGTTGTTTTGTTTCGATCTCTCTGCGTGCGTCACTTCTGAGCGGCGCAAAGCTGACCTCATATGTAATTCCCCCGGAACTGCTTCCGTTTTACAACAGTGAGCGCAAGCTAGATTCAAGTGATTATTACGTTTTGAATATGGATATTTTTCTTACAAAAACGCATTGATTCGCTACAGGAGGCCTTTGTTCACCCCCCGAAGCCGTGTGAGATACTTTTTTTTTATGGAAAGGTGCTTTTTATTTCACGTCTTTTGGACAGAAGCAATGCAACACCCGCTGAGTGCAACGATAGAGCTTGAAAGATCAAAGACCATTTTTTATATAACTCCGACTGGATTCGTCTGAAAGAAGAAAGTCATATACACCTAGGATGCATCGGGGGTGAGTAAAACGCAGCCTAATTTTCATTTTGGGGTGAACTAACCCTTTAATGTACTAGTGTAAGTCATGTTTAAAAATTGTATAAAGATGATTAGACAACAAATTACCAAAGCAAGTTGCATCTGCAAGGAATTTTTGCAATGACAATGGTGCTTATACTCTGTTTTTATACTTTGTTCTGTAACACAATTTATGTCACTATGAACTGAGCTGTCCACCTACACCAGATGAGAGGTTAGGAAATTAAATCTACATACTGCAGTGCAAGAATCATCTGTTGGCTCTACGGTTGGAATAAGACCCACCCACTTACATATCAGCGGCAGATTGATCGAATGCCATCCACATCACCAGAATTCCTTCCATGAGAAAAAAGGGAGATTCACGCTGTCTGTGGAGAGTTTTAGCATGCCGCTCATTCAGAGACCACAAGCATCAGACAGGTGCTTCAATCCGCACCATCTCTCAACACTGTTTCCACATAAAACTGACCAAACCAATCTGCTGTGAACGATTACTTTTAGGTCAGGTCTTTGGGCCAGGGAATGATTTGAGAAGGAAACAGATAACACAAGGTTTTTTTTTCACGCTGGTCTACTTGTAATTTGGCTGGTCATGAGTTGAAAGATTGGACATATCTAACAGTCAAGATGCAAATGAATATTTGTGTACAATTTATGTAGGAAAAACACAAAACTCAATGTAATTATAGGTGGACTAGGAAAGAAAAAAAATGCTACATAAAGGAATAGTTAACCCACAAATGAAAATTTACTGAACATGTACTCACCCTCAGGCCAAGAAGTTTGTTTTTTCATTGGAACAAATCTGGAGAAATTTAGCATTACATTACTTGCTTACCAATGGATCCTCTGCAGTAAATGGGTGCCATCAGAATGAGAGTTCAAACAGCTGAAAAAAAACATCACAATAATCCACAAGTAAACGTCAGATAAGTTAATCAATCATTTAAGGTCTTATGAAATTAAAAGCTGCATGCTTGTAATAAGCAAAATCATAATTTTTAAAGACATAAGACATTTTTAATCATAAGACATTCAAACCATTGCTTCTGGCTAAAATACAAGTCTATATCCATAACATTGCTTTCTCCAGTGAAAAAGTTGTTTCATCTGAATCAGGAGAGAAATATGCACAGTTTACCAGCAAAAACAGTTCTAAAGAAATATGTCAGTGGATTCTGATGTGAGAGGACAACAGGAGATGGACTTTTTAACTGAAGGAAGCATTATTATGGATTATGTTATGTTTTAGCCAGAAGCAGCAGTTTAAAGTTAAAATGCCCTAATGATGAATTTGTTTCTTACAAACACTCAGTTTTTCACTTCACAAGATGTTAACTGATGGACTGGAGTCATGTGGATTATTGTGATATTTTTATCAGCTGTCTGAACTCTCATTCTGATGGCACCCATTCACTGCACAGGATCCACTGGTGAGCAAGCAATCTAATGTAAATGTAAATTTCTCCAAATCTGTTCTGAGAAAGAAACAAACTCATTTACATCATGGATGACCTGAGGGTGAGCAGATGTTCAGCAATTTTTGAGTGAACTATTCCTTTAAATTGATATGCCAAAACTACAGTTTCTTTTTTGGCAAATGGTATGCTTTACATTCACTTGTCACATCTATTTTTTGGATGAAGTACTATTGATTCCTGTGAAGCCAAAGCCATCTTGCATTATTAATGAAAACTCAGATTATAACCCAGTTACAGCCCACAAGGAGAGAGGAACACAGGCTGCCTCTTACCAATGCCTGTCGCTGGCATGGCAAACAGTGTCTTCTCAGTGGCCACACGAAACCGTCCATGAACTGAAAGACCCACGCCCTGCAGAGAGAGAAAAAAACAGTACAGATCAATAATTGGGTACAATGTTCACAGACCAGATGAGGAGAGCTGTAGAATGAGGGTTCAATGAGTCTCCACACCCATTCACTGTAAGACACTATATACAGCAATATTTCACCCAAAAATGAAAATTCATTAATCATCCTCATGTTTCAAATCTGTATGTATGGTCCATATGACTTGTGTGCTATATTAGAAGTCTAGATATACACTAGCGTTCAAAAATTTGGGGTTTGCTCAATTTGTATTAATGTTTTGCATTTATTTGATCAAAAATGCAGTAAAAATATTAATATTGTGAAATATAATTTCAATTTAAAATTATAGTTTGAGACCCTAAATCACGACAGCATCGCCTAAACAGCAGACGCAGGAATGGAATAACAAACAGTCACTGATGTACGGCACACCGTATTTTTATGTGCTCTGAAAATCCACAGCTTGTTCACAAACTGTGTAGGATTAGAAACAAATGGTGCACATGGCACAGCAACAGCACAGCAACCCTAGCAGACAGCTGATACTTATTACAGACACAGCTGAACAGTTATCAGGTCTTTTAGCACTAATAACTGACCGATTTTTGAAATGATCAATATTGGCCAAATATCATCCAGAAATCAATCTCATATGGCCATTTGGTGTCCAAGAAACATTTCTTCTTCTTATTTATGTTGAAAACAGTTGTGCTGCTTAATATTTTTGTGCAAACCATTATACACATTTTTTAAAAGATTCTTTGATGAATAAAAAGTTCAAAAGAACAGCATTTATTTGAAATAGAAATCTAATATTTCAGCTACAAAATATTGATATTGAATATTGCTACAAAATATAATATTGTAATATTAAACATGTCTTTACTGTGACATTTGACCAATTGAATGCACCCTTCCTGAATAAAATAATTTCTTTCCAAACTATTAAAAATAACGACCCCAACTTTTTGAACGATAGTGTATATTAGCATTATATCAACCATTAGACACCTTGCTCTGTAGATAAACTATTCTCAAAGAAATAGAAGCAACTTCTAAAGAAAACATCCTGGACTATCAGGAAGCGCAAAATTCGAAAACTTGCCGTTACACAAAATAACATGGCCAAAAGCATACAACTTATTCATTGTTGCCACTAAAAAAACTCAACCGGATTCTGTCATAAAAAACGATCCACAAATGAGTCAAAGACAGCATCGTCGTCTTAATCACTTCAATATATTTAGCTGATGTGACTCATCAGATCACAGAGCATGACTGACATGGACTCATCTAGTTAAAGAAAATACACATCATAAAATCAGTTATATTACGAAACCAGCTGGGGGCTGCGTTCTCAAAGGGCTGCTCATTTAGAGACAATAATCATCTTCTCCTGGGGGATTTGAGAAGCATGTTGTAATCAGAGCAGCCCATGTGTCCCCTACATGAAAACTCATTAGGGTGATTAGGATAAAGTGAGAACAACCATCCAAACTATCACAGAGTCAAAACAGAAGCAGAAGGAAGGAATAAACTGTCTGAATAGTTTGGCAACAGCATTTTCATGAGGCAACTTAAGTATAAACGGGAAGCACATGTTGTAGCTGGAAGCATCAAATCATTCACCTAGAAGCGGTGGAAACTTTCATCGGTTGTCCAAAATGTTTGGCTGGAATCTGACCGAAAACTTGCGGACAGGTTCTAAATTTAAGAATCAACTCCAGGATGGAAAACAGTACCTATCAAAAACACAAGCATCTCCTCTTTAGGAGACTAATATGGAACATAAATGTAGCCAAAAAATGTTTAAAGACCATCTTTAATCTGGTGGTTTTCTAATATGAAAGCGCTCTGGAATGTTTCATCACAGATATCCTAAAAGAAGGCAAACTGCTTTATCAGGTACTTGGCAAACCACTGAATCTAAAAACGCTAGAGGTAGAAATATATAAAAAATTTCTGTTAACTTAAAAGAGAAAAGTAATGCTTAAACATATGCAGCCACAGGTGAGAATTATATATATATATATATATTTATATTATATATATTTATTTTTATTTTTTAACATCTTAGTTCAAAAGTTCCTACACCACTGTTCAATGGTTTGGGGTTTCTTTTAAAAATTTTTTTTAAATCTTTTATTCAGCAAGGATTCATTAAGTTGATCAGAAGTGACAGTAAAGACATTTATAAAGATTTCTGATTTACATAAATGCTGTTCTTTTGAACCTTCTATTCATTTATTTTCCTGTCTCTCTGTGAAGCTGCTTTGACAATCTGTGTTGTACTGAATAAAGCACTAAAAATAAAGGTGACATCAAATAATTCTGGGGAAAAAAATGTATTGCAGTTTTCACAAAAATAATAAGCTGCACAATTTTTGTCCACATTGACAATAAGAATTCCTTGAGGACCATGCGACACTGAAGACTGGAGTAATGACTGCTGAAAATTCAGCTTTGATCACAGGAATAAATTATATTTTACAATATATTCACATAGAAAACAACTATTGTACATTTTAATAATATTTCAAAATATTAATGTTTTTCTTGTATTTTTGATCGAATAAATGCAGCCTTGGTGAGCAGAAGAGGCTTTTAAGAAACATTAAAAAGCAATTTTGAATGGTAATATAACTGCTATGTCCAATAAGGTCAAAAACATACATAAGTAAAAGACAACAGTTTATACTTGTGTGAAATAGAGAAAACAAAGTTACATTATGAAATGTGGTCTACATATTTCAGAATGCAACAGTGCACCAGTTCTGTGTAGCTAGAAGCATTCAAGCTGCCTTTTTACATAACAGATGCCCTCTTTCTGGTCCTCTGTATTACTGCAGTCTGTATTAATACAGACTCTGTATTATCTGTCCTGTGGCTCTGCTTAATTAAAGCTACAGAAGCACTAAAGGTGTGATTTTCATTACATAAATGAGATGGTCAAAATTAACTCGGCAGAGGTCATATGAACGATCTATTGAGTGCGAGTTTAATGATTCATTTAAATCTGGAGTTGGTCTGGCCTACTTCTAACTGCTCTTCCAATATCTGTAACACAGATTTTATTATTATTTGTCATTTATTCATAACAGATGCCCAAGAGTGTGGCATCACATCCTGCTGCCCATATTCGTTGCAAGGTCCAAAACTCTGTTTCAAAACATTTAACACAGATGCACAAGTTAATGAGGATGCAGCTTCAGCGGGGACCAAAAGACCATCATTATAATGATCCACAAATGCTGACTATATAATCAAAGCAAAAGAGTACATTCTTACAAATGCTGGAAATATGCAGAAGAAAAAACTAATTATAATAATTTTTTTTACAGATATTTATCATAATGGAGACTGCTAATAAAATAAATAAATCAACTAAAAATAACAAAAATACAACAATAGCTCATAGTGACCATGTCTGTTAAACTACACATAATACAAATTAGTAAGATAGCTTTTTGTATGTAAGAGCCACTTAAAATCATAAAAAAAAAAAATCCCATTTTGTGTTCCACAGAAAACTAACTAGCATACAGGTTTGGAACAACATGAGGATGAGTAAATAATAAAAAATATTATTATCTCTAAGAAATTTATTGCAGAAAAAAGATAAAGCAGAAGAAGAAAACAAGAATATTTGTGGAATAATACGCTGCTGCCTTGCAACCGCCCATTTCTTTTTCTCAAATATCTGAGTAAATGGAAAAATCCATTTCTAAACCTTAGGGACATCTGAGGTCAGCACATGCTCAGTGAACTTGCATGGTCATTCCATTCTTAAATAACAGTTCAGAGCCATCTCTTTCTTACCTTTTTATAATCTGAAGAACCTTCTTTCACCACAAAGAACCTTTTGTGAAACAGAAAGGTTCTTCAGATATTAAAGGTTCTTTATGGAACCATTTAGACAAAAAGGTTCTTCTATGGCATCGTGAAGCACCTTTATTTTCAAGAGTGCAGCTGAAACATATCACGCAGCAGCTATGCATCAAACGGCTCATACCAAAGGATGCACGGCACTGAGGTCGAACCACTGTACCTCGACCTTGACAGAATCCCTGATCAATTAAACACCAGGAGCTGACAGATTCCACCACTGTGACATTGCTCTCCTACAGCCAGAACCCCATGAAACTATGAAGACAGTAATATTTCAACTGCTCTGTTGTGCTGGTAAAAGAGTGTTCAAAATATAAAGTTAGTACAGATGAATACGTTCTTGTTATAGTGAAAGTTTTACAATACAAATGAACAACATCTACTGAATATGCTGCTTATGAATACACATTTTTTTAAAGGAATAGGTCACCCAAAAATGAAAATTTGCCCACTCTTACAGTATCCGAGATGTAGAAGAGTTTGTTTGATCATCAGAACAGATTTGGAGTAATTTAGCATTACATCACTTGCTCACCAATGGGTCCTCTGCAGTGAATGGGTGCCGTCAGAATGAGAGTTCAAACAGCTGATAAATAGATCACAATAAACCACAAGTAATCCACACAACTCCAGTCCATCAATTATTGTTTTATGAAGTGAAAAGCTGCATGTGTAATGAATCCATCAAGACATTTTTTTTTTACTTCAAACCGTTGCTTCCAGCTAAAAGACGAGTCCTCTATCCATAATATTGCTTTCTCCAGTGAAAAAGTAATCTAGTCTGAATTATAAATATGCACAGATCCAGCACAGTTTACAAGTAAAAACAGTTCTAAAGAAATATGGACTTTTCCATTGGACAAAGCATTTTTATGAATTATGGACTATATTGGCCAGAAGCAATGGTTTAAAGTTAAAACAGCTTAATGATGGATTTGTTTCTTACAATCATGCATCTCTTCACTTCACATGATGTTAATTGATGGACTGGAGTCATGTGGATTACTTGTGGATTATTGTGATGTATTTATAAGCTGTTTTGACTCTCATTCTGACGGCACCCATTCACTGCAGTGGATCCATTGGTGAGCAAGTGATGCAATGATACATTTCCAAAGAAGAAACAAACTCATCTACAACTTGGATGGCCTTGAGGGTGAAAAGTTTTTCTTTTTTGGGTGAACTATTCCTTTAAGCATTAGAAGGAATTTTAGGCACCTCTCTATTGTAAGCAGAATTATTAGTAATTAATTTAAAATTAAAAATGTTTAAATAAATGTTAAAATAATTACAATTTTGAGTATACATTTTTGAATCCAGATCATTTGGGATGCATCTCTAATTGCAACTGTAATTATTAAATTAATGACTTTTAGGCCTACATGTAATGTACAACATGAATGTAAATATAAAGTGTTACTCAAACAAATTCATAGCCTACCAATGGGAGGACACTTGAGAACTGATTCATAAGAAACCCAAAGATTGTCTGCAAGATTAGCTCATTGCTGACACCTACTGGATAAAATACTCAGTGCAGGACAGAAATTAAGAGGATTAAAAGAGGGGTTTATGACTCATATAGTGCATCGACTGGCTTGCAGCTCATATGGTCAAACATGACTGCAAAATATGGAAAATTGCACTAAGAATGCATATAATAATAGCTCATGGGTCCTTATGTCTAAGTATTTTCATGCATATGTTTACAAATGAGAACACCTAGATTGTGCATTATGCATGAAGCCAGTAGCAATGTGAGTCCTACTGTTTTTGGGCAAATTCATAACGACATAATGACAATGAAATATATATATTGTTTTATATAAAGCCGCTTTGTCCTTCATTTATTTGTATATTTTGTAAACACAAGACAAGCTGCCCCACATTGCCTCTGGCCCTCTGGTTCCTTTAATGCCATATTCTGTTAAATTAGAACAGACAGCATCATCTGCTGGTGAACTTGTGCAGCAAGACAACAATTTTAGATGAATACTTACTCCTCCCATTGTAATTCCATCGATTAGAGCCACATACGGTTTCTGATATGTACCTAAAAAAAGAGTTAAAAATCAATCAATCAATCAATTAATCTGTTCATCAAACCTCAAACACGGCAACAGAAGTGTGAAAACATACCAATAGTGTTGTTAAGAATATATTCCTCGCGAAATAAGTCTTGAGTGAGAGAATCGCCTGCTTTTCCAGCTTCTGAGACAGCTTGGAAAATATTTTTTGCATTTCAGTGTGAATGTCAGATCTGTTTGACTGTATTATCTATGCATAGATCCATTTAAGAGTGAATGAAAAACCAAACTGCACGATTATCTTACATAATTACCTCTGATATCCCCACCAGCACAGAATGCCTTCTCCCCTGCTCCTTTAATGATCACTAGATCCGTTTCTGAGTCTTTGTCCCATTTCTACAAAAACACAACGATTAAAGTAGGTTAACAATCCGAGATTGTCATATAAAGCTGGATTGGGTGACAAAATTAATATAGGGCTATTATTGATGTAGTCTCCCCTAACCTTGAGCTGAGGGTAGATGTGTCTGATCATGGTGAGATTCAGAGCATTGAGAGCTTTGGGTCTGTTCAGTGTGATGACTCCAGCGTTCCCAACTTTCTCAAACAGAACTTCAGACCCAGCTTTAGTGGACATCTGAGACACCGTAATAAAACAATATTCACTGGGAGAAACATGAAGAATTAATACGAAACTAAAACGTGCACAAGGTTTGCACACATATTCTTTTCAGTGCTTTTTAAAAAAAAAAGTTTTTATAAAATGCACATTTAAGCATAAGATGGAAAAAAGACCAAATTATTTCAAGCATTATATATAATACACCAGACCAAAAGGTTTTTAGGGTCATAAAAAATTAACTGAAAAGGATCATACATTTGATTAAGTGTGTCCATACTCTTGACTGTCTCAAAAAATGTAGTATGAATAATACTTTTGCCTGCTTAGGGCTCAAGCTTACCATGTGGCCTTGTATTCTCTGCAATCTGCAGGCTGATCGTAATCTGTATGAGATAAAAATCAACCGTGGTGTTATTGTTTTCATGCTGAACTTAACATCAAATTGTTATACATGCTGTCGGGTAATGGTATTAAAATTATTCAATTAAAGGCAACAGAACATTTTGAAACTGAACCCTCAGATACACAGTAGATTGTTTATTTATTTATTTATTTATGTTCATGCCTTTTATTATTAGACAAGAACACAATGCACAACATTTGCTAACACATATATATATATATATATGCATGCATTAGGTGTAAGTTAGTTTGCTTCTATATGTTTTCTAAAACCTTTTAAAGTATGTTTTGCTGGGTTCAATCTATGCAAACATTTAAAGGACACTTTCCCTACTTTATTAGCTATTGTGTATGTATACAACACACCGTCCAAACTTGATCTCATTCATTCTTTTTGAAAGAGAGACCTATATTGCACTGTCTGCAGATCTCCTACACATCAAACTGCAAGCATTGAATTATTGCTTCTGGAGTCTATATGCAGAACGAATCCCTGATGACATGCCACCCGTGGCACTTGAGGAACACTCACCTGTGCGCAGAAGTTAAGATTATTAATGACATGGCTAGAACTCAGAGCTCAGCTGATGTTCTGGATCACTGTCCACAGAGAGCGCTCTCCGTCTGTCGCCCCTGCTTCATGATGGCATGATGGCGCGACACCAGCGAGGAAATCTCGCGATGTGTCACAACAGTCCCGATACTGCCCACTACAGTTTCATTCGCGCTTTGCCATGGAACAATAGCACAGATTATGCTTGTTTTTTTCTTAGAAAAAATAAAACAAGTATAGCCAATTAATTATCTTATGTATAAAGCTATATTTAACTTAAAAAACTGTATTTGATGGCTGTGGAAAGGCGTAAACTCCGATATAACCGCTTCTGTAAAGAGGTGCTTGAGTTGCTATGCAACTGTACCGACGCCGGAAGTGCGTGGCTACGAAAGACATGGCGAACAAGAGGGGAACAGCTGGGTCTGCTTCCTTTCATGATATTTTACGACATTATGCGGTATTAATCCTAACTATTTTATCCTATAAATTCACTTCGGCTACAGAGGAAGATGCATTTCGTGCCGGGCAGTCGATATTGTCTCCGGTGGCTGCAGCATCACGGGATGTTCGGTAGGAATCATTTGTTGGAAAAAATGCTTCCTATATTTACAAGACAAATGTCCACAACTATTATGTCATTTTGTGTTGGTTTATTCCTTTTATGTAGTGCCGTATGAACGCTGTAATTCAAAAATAAATGAATATGGTTACTCGGTAATATAATTCCCTTGACTTCCCCTTTGTGTACCTTCAGCACCACCTGTAAGGATCGAGTACCCCTTCATTACACCCAGACTAATGTTTCTCTGTTGAATATTATACTGGATATCATTCAGCTTTATAATTAGTATTATTAAAACGGTCGTTATGGATCATTGTTCACTAAAATACTGTAAGAAAGTGAAAAGGCTATATCTCTCTAACTAAAGAATTGTGTTTGGTATGGTTTGATTTCCAATGAGATGGAAGCAGGCCTATATAAAAACAATAGAATTTTACACGTAACTTGTTTTACACATAATTTTACAATAAAAGATGTTTTGTTTGAAACGTTTTGATTAGAGAAAGGACAAAAAATATTTAACACTATAATGAATAATTAAATTGCACAAACGAAATTATTGAAAGTTTGATTCACGAAATATATGATTAACTTTATTATTAAATGTATAAATATATTATTATTACTCGCTGTGATAGCACTAGCAGTCTGAGAAATCAGATTTTATAAATGCATTTAGTTTATGAGGTAGAAAAAAACCCGTTACATTTTAAAAGCATGGGACATTTTAGCTGGGGGAAATACAATAAATAAATCCCCTTTAAATTTATTGGAAAAGTGTAATTACTCAAAAATGCTCCAAATAAATAATTGAACGTTTAATTTGTTCGGTTTTATGATGAACTTCTTTGAGATCGCAGTCTGAGAAATCTGTTATTTATAAATGTATTTAGTTTGGTATTAATTGGATTTCCAATGAGATAGAAGTAGGGGGAAATATCTAATTTTACAATATGAAACATTTTGATTAAAGAAAAGAACAAAATGAAGAATCACCTAGAATATTTCACACTAAATGTAATGAAAAAAATGGTTAAGTTTTTTCTTTTTTAGGCAAAAACTGCTCAAACCAAAGTATTGAAAGTCTGAATATATATATATATATATATATATATATATATATATATATATATATATATATATACATACACATTGATCCTGTTATATGCAATGCTCAGATACCTCCTATATGATGTAAATCCACCCGAGGGCTTCAATCTTCGCCGAGATGTGTACATTCGCATGGCCTCTTTGCTGAAGACGTTGAGGAAAGAGGGCGACTGGGTGCTAGTTTTGCCTCCATGGGGTCGTCTGTATCACTGGCAGAGTCCTGATATACATCAGGTTCGCATCCCGTGGGGGGAGTTCTTCAGCATAATCAGCCTGCAGGCTAACATACCAGTCATTGAGTATGAGGAGTTTATTGCTGGTGAGCCATGCTGTTTTTGTGGGTTTGAGAGAGAGAGATTACAATTACATGTCATTATTTAGCTTCATTTACTTTATTAATTTATTCAGACAGGAGGAATGTTGGAAAAACTGGTAAAAAACAAAACAAAACTTACATTACATACAATTCCATGTGGTGACGCTAGTGGCACAGAAAATACAGGACAGTCTTGCGTGACTGTCTAGTTAGTCATGTACAATCAATTTTCACTTAGAAATTGCTAGTAAATTCCACAAATAAATACAAAGAAATACCAAGTAACACACTGAATTAAACGTGACATTTTAAAGTAGAAAGACATACTCCAGTAAACGGTTTTACGATGTAGTATTTAAATATAAGTAGTAGCACTGCATTAATAAACAATAAAAGCTGAGACTCAATTATCATTCCCACGTTTTGTGTCTTTATTATTGATCTCAGAGTCTGGAGGTCCCTTCATTGACCAGATCCTTGTGCTGCAGAGCTATGCCGAGGGCTGGACAGATGGGAAATGGGAGGAGAAGGTGGATGAACGACCATGCATCGAAAAGCTAATGTACTCAAAAGACAAACAGGGTTATTACAGGTACTGCTTTAAAATGACAAGTTCAGCCAGTTCAGGTGCTTTTGACAGACATACTGTACTTATAGAAGGATGCAAGGTATTGTTTATGTGCCTTTTAAAGCCATACATGAATCATTGTTAAAGGAACAGTTCACCCCAAAATAAAATATTTCAAAATATACTGTATGTGTGTGTAAATATAAATAGAATACTGTAATATATATAATATGCTGATTTGGTATTCAAGAAACATTTCCTTAGTGTTTTTGTGGAAACTGTGAAACATGATTTTCAGGATTTTCTTGATGAATAGAAAGTACAAAAGAACAGCATTTATTGGAATACATTTTTTGTAACATTATGAAAGTCTTTACGGTCACTTTTGATGAAATTAATGCATTCTTGCTGAATAAAATTATATATTATAAATATTATAAATCTTCCTGACCCCAAACATTTAAATGTATGTCCTTACAACTTATGCATTATATTTGATTATCATCTGAAGCCAAACAATTGCTTTGTGTGAGAAACAAACCGAAATTTAAAGGGATAGTTTGTGTGATTATTTACTCACCTTCATGTTCTTTCAGTGTATTATTTTCTTTGTTCTGTTGAATGCAAAATAATATATTTTGAACTTTGTTTCCATACAAAAAAAAGTCCAAACAAAACAACATTCTTTAAAATATTTTATTTTGTGTTCCACCAAAAAAAGTAATGCATAGGAAAAGAAATTCAATCCATTTCTTTAATGAAATCTTATTTTGTTTTTCTCCAGAGGTTGGCTTTGGGGTTATGAGGAGACCAGGGCATTGAATGTCACCTGTTTATCTGCTCAGGGACATGCCTCTATCTTGGCTCCTGTCTTACAAAATAACTTAAATGCTACGTAAGTCACTTCGGAAATAAGTTTGAATTAAAATAGCTTTTAAATGCAAATGGGGTCCCTGTACATGTGTTGTCATTGAACCACAGGTCAATAATGCTGGACAGATCTGAAACTGTCCTTCATGATCACTATGCTGGGAAGGACTACTGGGATGTAAGCCCATGAATTAATATTCTCAGATTTTTAAAATAATTTTGCTAGAAATGTAGCATTAATTAGACTTTTTGAAAGATATCTCACCTATCTCATTTTATTGTTCTACAGACGCGGCGAAGTATGGTGTTTGCCAAACACTTACGTATCATAGGAGACGAGTTTAGGGCCAAGTATCTCAACTCCACAGACAAACAGGACCAGACGCCGTATAACGAAGACTGGACCCGAATGAAAGTATATTTCACTTACATTAACTCTCCCCTCTCATTGTTCAAATACAAAAAGTACTGGTGTCATTGCTGCCAGCATAATAGGTATAGTCAAACTGGTGTTTATGTAACAAGATGAAGTATTTGAGCTTTGTCAGAGCTTTTGTTCACATGTCAAGACAGTTAATTTCTGGAATGCTTGCCATGTGCTTTACACCCACACTCATTTCAGCGTGACAAAACTGTCATATTTGTTGCGTGACCTTTTGTAAACTCTTGGACCCAGAACAGCCTGGGCAGTGCTAAGGGAGGCCCTTACCTGGGAGTCCACCTGCGTAGGAAGGACTTCATCTGGGGGCACAGAGAAGATGTGCCCAGCCTCAAAGAAGCAGTGAAGAAGATCCGTAGTCTCATGAAGAAGCACAAGTTTCAACAAGTCTTTGTTGCCACCGATGCAGACGAAGAAGGTACAGACACTATTAAAAAGACTAAAACAACAATGTACAAATTATTTAAGCTTTCATTCAGAAACATTTATTTATTTATTTTTGTTTGTTACAAAACATTCACAGAATAGACAAAAAATGGAAACATTTTTGTTATTTTTTTACTAAACCTCATCTCAAAGCCTTGAGCTGATATTTTTTTCTGTTCAGCAGAATATAGGAGTCATTTAAAAAAAATATTCATGCATATCTAAAAAACACAGTAAAAGCACCTTAAAAGTAATCCATATGATTTGTGTGCTATATTAAGCAGAAGACTTATTATATAAGTCTTCTGAAGCCATCCAACAGCTTTGTATTAGCAAATGGCCATTTTTTTATTCACTTCAAATCTTCTTTTCCTAAACACTACTGTTTAAAAGTTTGGGCTCAGTACATTTCTTTTAAAAAATAACTACTTTTATTCAGCAAGGAGACATTACTTTGTTCAAAAGTAACAGTAAGGACATATAATATTACAAAGGATTTCTGTTCTTTTGAACTTTCTATTCATCAAAGGAAAAAAAGAGGAAAAAAATGTTTTGATGGTTTCCACAGAAATATTAAGCTGTACAACTGTTTTCAACATTTATAATAGTAATAAATGTTTTTTTTAAGCATCAAATCAGCATATTCGAATGATTTCTGAAGGATCATGGGACACTGAAGACTGGAGTAATGGCTGCTGAAAATTGGCTTTGCATCATTACATTTGAACATATATTAAAATAGAAATAAATTTAAAATTGTAATAATATTTCACAATATGATGGTTTTTACCATATGTTTGATCAAATAAATGCAGCCTTGGTGAGC